ATATTCTGGCGGGTGAGAGGCTAGGAAAGCATAAGCCCAACGTAGTGCTTTACCCTTGAGTGCTGTGACAATGTAGGTGATTTTAGAAGAGTTGGTGGTGAAATAGGACGGTGAGCGGGCAAACACATTGGAGCAGAAAACCACCACAATCAACACTGTTACCTTCAAACATTTCTGCCGGTCTTAGGTCTGGTTCACGTTGGGTCTTGGTGGGTGGCGGAGGAGCCGGCAGAGCGGGAGCGTCGGGTAGTAATGTGCCCAATTTGTTGTCAATTGCGGCCACCCGATGAGTGACGTGATCCAGTAGGGAACTGGTAGTCTGTTGAAGATCAAAGAGTTTCTCGAGGAGTATCTGGTGGTCGGACAAAACATGTTGTGATTCAGACATGGGTGGAATTTGTTCTACACTGGGATTGCTCTGACATAGTTCTGGCTGAATCGTTCTGACACAATGAGAACTAAGGCTGAGTCTAAAATGAGCAAACCCAGGAAGAACCACGGAGGCTAGTAGTAAAATAATAAGTGCTTTATTTTTACAGGTGATATAAACAATGTGCAGGAGGTCAGAGCCGAGACCGGGACCCAGGGAATCTGGAGAAGAGATACTGGTGAGTATGGAGCAGATAGGAGATGATGCTGGGTATTTAGTATGAGGAGAGWTATCTTGACTTACTGGGTTTTGAAGGCGAGTAGTACACAGGAGGAGGTACATAAATCCAGAGGGTTAAATCCAGTAATGGTAGTTCTTTGAAGCTGAGGCAGACAGGCAGCGAGCTTTAATTGTTTGAGATCCAGAGGAACACTCTTTGTGTTGTTTCCACAGGGTGAGACCTGGAAGCCAGAGACACAGGAGATGTTATGCCCAGGAGCAGGTAATGAGGGACAAGAGGAGAATACTTGCGAGTAGCACATGGAGAGCTGAGGACAACAATACCCAAAGTACGTGACGATTCAGCGTTGACCTGCTGAAGACTGGAGCCTTAAGTAGCAGGTCAGGTCGTCAGGTGAGATCAGTCTCAGGTGTGCTCTGCTGTCTGCCAATTAACTCATGAGGAGAGGTGAAACAGGAGGAGGTGGGTGAGAAACTCACCAAATGCTTCAGTAGGAGCTCAGAAAGGTAAACAGGTGCCAGACCATTTAAACATTTAAAAACCAGAYTAAAACTTTAAAAACAATCCTAAAAGAAACAGGCAGCCAAAGAAGAGAATGCAAAACTAGGGTAATGTGGTCACATCATCAAGTCCCCGTTAACAAATGAACAGCAGAATTTTGGGTCATCTGAAGACAGTGGAGCAGACTGGTCAATTTCACTGTAAAGGGAGTTGCAATAATCCAGTCTGGGGCTCAGTATGAATCCTTGAGGTACCTCACATTTAAGAGGAGACTCTGAGGAAGAAAATTCTCCTATTTGTWCAGGAAAAACTCCTATRAGACAAATAGACTCAAACCATTTAAGAGTCGAGCCTTTCACACCAACTGACTATTCCAAAAGAGATAATAAAACTTCATGGTCTACTGTGTCAAAGGCAGCAGTGACATCAAGAAGAATTAAAAGAGCAGTAGCACCAGAAACAACAGTTAAAAGGAAGTCATTACACACACTGAGAAGAGCTGTTTTAGTYCTGTGACGTGACCTAAAWCCAGACTGAAACTTCTCTTAAACTCTATTCAGCTTTAAATGATCTTGTAGCTGAAGATGAACCACATTCTCTAAAATTTTTGAAACCAAAGGCAGCTTTGAGTTTGAAAGAACGTTGGGGTCTAATTTGCTCTTTTTAAGAAGACATTATCAGAATAAAAATGTATAATAGAATCTGACAGGTTTTGTCCCAATTCATTAAAGGGGCAATATTATATGTTTCTCAGGCATATATTTAAATTCTACACCATAATAAAGTATATCGCCTTCAGTTGTTAATGAATGAGTCAAAGCAAGACTCTAGGCATGTTTTTGATGAGAGAATAACATTATAACATGATATAAAGCTCAAAAGAGTTGACTTTACATAATATTGCCCCCTTCATGTACATAATAAACAAGAGGGGGCCCAAGATTCAACCCTGTGGCACCCCCTTGTGTACGCTCAATTAATACACAGTCCTGTAATTTGTGAACCAGGCACTACCTGACATTTCCAACCAAAAAAGTCAATACTTTAGMACAGCATGGCCCAGTGTCAAAAGCTTTTGACAACTTAAAGACAACGTCAATTCCAGGTCCACATTTATCTCTGTGAAACACCTAATCTACTAATCAGCCTTTTATCTCCTGGTCCTTACTTCACGTAGGTCAAACAAAAAACTAATCAATAATTGATATCGACTGATGTAAAACGCTTATAATGTGATACATTTTTAACCACATGGCCCAGCCCTAGAATGTTGTCCTCTTCTTGTCCAATGTAAGACTCTCTATATAATACTTCAAATGATTTCAAAATGTCAAATCAGCTTTATTTATTTATTTTATAAAGCACTTTAAAACAGCAGCTACTGACATAAAGTGATGTACAGTACATAGGTGGCCAAAACCAATAAAAAAATCAACAATTAAAACACCAAAAAATATATATTAGAAACAAGTTAAAAACACCCAAACCAGACCAAGGTCTCAAGCTGGGTAAAAAGCCAGTGAATAGAAATAAGTTTTAAGATATGTTTTAAAAACAGGCAATGACGTGTAGGGGTAGCTCATTCCAGAGCTTTGGAGCAGCAACTGAAAATGCTCAATCCCCTCTGAGGGTTAGGTTAGTCCTTGGTACTTTAGGATACAACTGATCAGCTGACTGGGGATACCATGCAGGGACATGGAGTGGACAAGCTCAGAGAGGTAGAAGAACCTTAAAACAAACATTAAAATGCACATGCAGCCAGTGGAGGGAAGTCAAAATGGATGTAATGTGCTCCCTCTTACGTGTTCCAGTTAGCAAACAAGCAGCAGCATTCTGAGCCAACTGAAGCAGTGCAAGGTTATTATTGGTTAATTATTGGTGGGAGGTTTGGACTGCTGTCAGGTCAGTTCAYCACTCTACTACTATAAAGCRATGCTGTTATAATGGATGCAAAATACAGTTTAGCATTGTCTTGCTGAAATAATCAAGGCCTTCCCTGAGAAAAAAGCCATTGTCTGAATGGAAGCATGTGTTCTAAAATAGATTTTTACCTCTATACTACTAGAGCRTTTGCAGATGTGTAAGCTGTTGATGCCATAGAGACTAAACCACCCACATACTGTTACATTTACAGTGGAGAATGAACCCATGCCTGGATGGAGGATAACAGTTATAAATAAAACTATTTGACAAAAATAAAGAGCTGGCGAGGCAGCCAGTAAAAAAAAACACAAGGAAGCATGGAGGAACTCAAGGGAATGAAACAGAAGGACATAGCCATACAACAAACCAGCAAAGTACTGAACAGATGAGATAGAATACAGTATATACAAGCAGAGGGAGAGAAGATAATGGACAACAGCTGAGGATGATTGATACAGACGACTGACAGGTGAGTGTGGTTGACAGGTCAACAGACTGAGGTAAGAGGAGAGAGTTATGACACAAAGAGAGGACAAGAGGGAGACAGCACACAAGACAAAGATCACATCCTCACACATACCATCCAAGAGACAGGCTGTGTGTTGAGGACAGGTTGGATTATCCCTCTCCTCTTTGGTGCAAAGAACTAGTTGTCTTCCTAAGGAGTTTCAAAGTTCCATCTAAAAAACAGTTCTTTAAACACTSTTGAAATCTTAAAGATTTTATGAACTAAGTCTCCAAATTTTCCACTGAAAAACGTTACACTGAAAGGGTTTCACTACTTTTAGATGCAGTTTTCCCAGTCTGGTGAGCCTCTGTCCATCTTTATTTTTGAGACATTCAGCTTGTCTAAAATCCGTGTTTCCCCTAGTGTATTAGTAGGCTGCCAGACTTTACATGCCTCCCCACCAGGATAAGTGTTGCTCATTTACTCAGAGTGGACATTACCAATGTCGCCTGCAAAGCATGTGCTAGAAATAGCCTTAATCATCATTGTGCAGAGAAGCTAAAAGTTATCATGACTCAGCATGCAAAAAGCCAGTCATAGTCATCTTTAAACACTTTAGAGTTTAACAAACCATCCAAAGAAGGTAACAAGGATTGCTGAACCAGCAGAAAAACACAGCAGCTAAGCTCACTGTCTCCTCTCTCATCTGTCCCAKACACACCTAGCACCTCTTTGCACCACCCTCTTCATACAGAAGAGCTGCAAAATGTTTTCAAACTGAGAACTCTGGACTCAGATCACTTTGGTGCCACACAGAGTTCAAAATACTTATTATTAATAATAATAATTCTGAGTTGTCTTTACTGTTTTAAGTCGGTCAAATATTCACATATTTGTAAATTTATTATTATTAATACTATAATTAAAGTTGAGTCATGCAAATTTATGTTAATGTATCAAACAAGTAGCCTTTCATGTTTCTCTGTACCCCTGAGGTAGCTCTAAGTCTCAAATAGTTTGGTGACCTGTAGTTGACGTGTAAATATTGTCACCATTGCCTTATAATAAACACTTAATTACATTACATCATATTTACAAATTTCCTGTCAACTTTTAACATTTTTAACAAAAACACGATGGGTGGCCAGTGGGCTGACCAAGTGGTCCTAACACCAGGCTTAGCCAGTTTTCTGGGGAAACACTGCTAAAATGATCTTTTTATAACCAGATTTCTTTCTGACCTGACCTAATTACGCATTTTATATTTATAGCTTTTTGTTGCCCATCCTTACTTTTTTGAGAAGTGCTGCTGCCATCAAACTCAAAATGACCAAAATTGTCAATAAAATGTGTTTATGAAATATGTAAATCATTACATTCTTTTTGATTTGCATTATACTCAGTGTCCCAACATTTCACATTGTGATTTTAAACAGACAGTCACTTTTGGGCAGATGACTTCAGTCCTYTGCAGAGGTCTGGATGCATTTTCTTACAGTGGTTGTCCTGATGGTTACCTTCATGTGTGCTTGGTCCAACAGCGATGCGCAGCCTGAAGTGCAGTTCCTCTGCACTGGCTTCTCCTCCAGGTGTGTGGATGCAGGAGTCCTGCTCAAAGGTGACTCCTGCTGGTAAAGCCAGGCTCATGTCTCCTCTTGGAGTCCTGATGAGAAGTGAGGACTCTCCGCTCATCACGACCACGTCTGCAGGACCTTTGGCCACATCTTTCCTGGAGAGCAGTTAGAAGTACACACTTTACACCCACACTTTACACACACATACACACTGTGTTTGAACTGATCATCAGATGAAAACATACATGATATGGAAAACAATGTTATTGCCTTTAAAAGCTCTCAACTAATTTTGGTACAATTACATTAAAATGTATGAATGTGGCAATCTCAGATTATTTCACAGTTTTCAGTCTGCTGGCTTCTTTAGATATGTTGTTTTTTTTGTGTACAGTGCCTGGTTGTTGTGACTTAGTGCTATATAAATAAACTGAATTTAAATTGAATTAGTTTGGGGCTTTAAAGCATAGTTACGCTGCCAAATGATTTGATCATGYATAAAAAGAAATACTAACTTGAAGGTAAAAAGTAAACTAAAGCTGAACAAATATGGAACATTTACTTGAAGCATGGTTTTTCAATAATATAAAATTACTCTAGTAGCAAAATTCAAATCTTTTTTATTCTAAATCTGACCTTTTCTTCCAGAGGAGGCAGATCTTTGTTTGCATTTTCTCTTCTTTGCCATACATATATTGCCAATTATAGATTTGTCATTTGTCAGAGTCTCAAACAGCTCATTTATCAATAAGTCAACCATGYCTGCAAATCCAGGATAATTTTTTGTCAACTATTCTGAGTCGGAGCCAAATAAATATCATTTTAGWACAAATAGGAACTCTTCTGTGCAACAACATAACAAAGTAAAGATGTAGAATAAACAGGGATTTACTCTCCAGTCTGAGTGAACTACTACAGCAGCAGTCCTCAATCCTGGTCCTCCAGGGCCACTATGATGTGTGYTGGTCCTCGAGAACCAGGACTGAGGAACTGTACTACAGCAATGTGTACAAGTTAAATTACTGTCTAGTTGAGTACTAAGTACCTCCTACAGCCTTAGACAGGCAGCAAAGACCACTGCCACCATCTAGTGATAGTTTCAGAGCACTGCATGTACATTTATGTACTCATTTGTCAAACGAACACAAAATATATTTCACTCACTTGGTCTTGCTCCAAAATGTCTGAAAGCTACAAGGATCAGACTCTGAATAGTAGTGCCTCTTTATAATTCAATTCAGTTCATGTATATAGCACCAAATCATAGCAATTATTGTCTCAGGGCACTTTATCTGTTTGTTATGAAGTATTGTTATGAAGTATTGT